TGATGACTCACTGATTTCCTTGATTGAGTGACCTCTTCTTGACTTCATCAGAGTAGTGGTTAGAATCTGTAAACTGGATAATTTGGTTTCCTGCAAATGTTTGATTTTCACATCTTTTGCATTTCACATAGGGATCTGGTCATTTTAGTACTGATGGTTATAATAAAGGTATATATTTTTAAACATAAATAACTATCTTCATTAACATAAGTATCAAGAAGACTATAATTTACTTCCAAATTAGTTTGCTCTTGGTTTTTTTAGACTGATTAAGAAATTATCTTTCACTAATGATGGTTATTTGAGTTTGTAACATGACCATCCTTATCATGAAACTGAAATTCACATGAAATAAAAACAAAACATCTATTTATAACCAACTGAATTACTTCATTATATGTTAATGCCTGTCATCAGTCCCATTTAGAATTTCTCAGAAAAAAAAAAGTTCTATTCTTTCCTGGAAAAAGAAAAAACATTCTCATCTGAGTACTTTTCCCCCTTTCATTAGACATTTCATCAGGTGAGTTTTTTGATTTGAAACTAAGGTTTCTTTAAAGGGTAAGCATAGCCATCTATGTTCTGATTTATGTTTAGCTGTACTGAAATTCTTAGAGTTGTGCATAAAATATATATTTTTCCTTAGAATCGAGTCATTTGTCTCTCAAAGAACAAAGGGCAGTGAGGTCTAATCTGTGTATCTGCCTAAGGGGTGGGGTGTCAAAGCAGGACACCAAGTACTTCCTGGGTGGGTGACCCTAGACCTCCTGAAAGGTGCAATGATGAAAGTAGGATTAATGACCAGGCTCCCAGGCCCCTGACATTAACATTCTCGAGGCAAAACCAGAAGCAACTCTGTCCTAACTTGCAGATGGGCTGTGCTGGTGCTTCCAGAGAACCAGGCATGAGACAGGGATACTTCAGTTAACAGGTGTCAGGCTTGGGAACCAGGATTAATTGCTGGCAAGGGCCGGACATGCTCTTGAGGTAGTAAGGCGGCCCCCAGCATTCGTGGCAGGAAGAGGTATAGACTAAAGTTCAGATACTCTCAGATAAGCCTAAAAAGTAAGCTGGAATTTTGTGAGAGGCTACAGCATTTATTCTGAAGCAATAACACCACCACCACAATGATATAGTCGATTCTACTTATTTGTAAGTCACAGCAAACTCTGAATTAGTGAATACTGAACCATTGCTCATAGGTGTAATACACGGTTACATTCCTATGAGCTTCTGGTAACAACATTTTCACCAGTAGATCGATCTGTAACTTGTTTTCTATGTGAACTTACAGGCAACAGCTGTACAACTCATGCCTGTAGACTCCATATTTACAGCATGCATCTTCTCTGTGCTTAGGAATGCTAAAGGGCTCTTCAACCAATGACTGGGGGATATTTTAAATAGCAAAATCACCAATAAAAGCACAAAAATGCAAAAGAGGTGGCACTAAATACACCACTAAAAGGACACTTGTTTCTAGCCTGGGAGCTGAAACATGAAGGTAGAGTGTCACCTTGTCTGACCTCACCAAGAATGTGTGCAAAGGGCACTTCAAATCCATTGCTGCTCTGTGCCAGTCCCCCAGTACAAGGGCAGGGAGTATTGATTTGGGGGTTACAGTAAATTTTAGTCAGCAGTCAAATGGGCAAGCAGGAAGTCTACAAATAATGAGAAGTGACCCTAATTGTAATGGTGGGAAAGAAACTCCTCCCTGTCTTTGGGGAACAAGGCCCTGGCTCCAGAGCCAATGGAGCCACTGGGCTGACCTGTGAAGAAAAGCAGCAGGAGGGCCCCTGCGTGGCCAGGGTGGGGCCAGCTTGGGGCCTGAGGCTGATTTTACCTGGACCTCTGAATTGAGGTCATTGGCCTCAGCTTCCTCATCAGCGAAATGGACATAATTCCTGACCTGCTTATTTCGAAAGGATACTTTGAAGCTAAAATGAAGGAAACCTGAAGGTCTAAGTCAATTACAATGAATACAGGAAAAAAAAAAAAAAATCCAAGGGCCAGCCATGGTAATTTCTGTATGAAAATAATAGAGGCAATTTTTATTTTCTTCTCTGTAGCTGTCAAAACTATTTCACAATGATCTCTCTTTAATACATATAATACTTATAATCCAAAAAAAAAAACTTTAAAGGAAAAAATACCAGTGAGAATAACGTAAATTTGTATGAAGCTGCTTTGAGAAAAAGTACTGTGAAAGATTAGGTGTCCTTTTCCAAGAAATACCTCAATATATACAATGGGTTAGTAAACTGAAGTGAAATTCCAACCTGTTCTGTCATGCATGGAAAAACAAGTCCCACCTGGATTGGGTAGTTAACCTTGTCAGAACCATTTAGTTCAGGCCTGCTTTTTGCAACATTACAGAAGCTCTATTACACTGTGCAGACTGGCCGTGTCCGCCTGCCTCATGGGACTGCCAGCACCGCCCTTCACTTCATTTGTACTGAAAGAAAACCAAAGGGGGAGTAAGGCTGAGTTATTTTCCCCTCCAGCAGCTTCATGGAATATGAACCAGGGAAGAAGGGAATCTATGACAGTGAACGACAAGGTCTGCCCTTGGTTTCCCTTAGATTTAACAATGCAATTCATAAATGTAATGCTAGTGTGTTCTTTTGATTCCAGGAACTAACTCAATCCACTGTTTTAGAAGTATGAGCTGCTCTTGAATCTTTGGAACAAAGAACAGGTTTGTCTGATTTGAAAGTGCACTGCCTTCTGTAAACGGTCGTTTACAAATTTCCCCGTCCTTTCAACAGGACAGGTGATTCTTTTTCATTTTCTAATCTCTGTCCTGTGGCATGGCTGAGAGCAATTCAATAGCTGTAATGTTTTATGATAGAGATGGTTAGCTCTCTGTGCTAGGTAATGTGATCCTAAAATAGAACTGACCTGCTTATTTCGAAAGGATACTTTGAAGCTAAAATGAAGGAAACCTGAAGGTCTAAGTCAATTACAATGAATACAGGAAAAAAAAAAAAATCCAAGGGCCAGCCATGGTAATTTCTGTATGAAAATAATAGAGGCAATTTTTATTTTCTTCTCTGTAGCTGTCAAAACTATTTCACAATGATCTCTCTTTAATACATATAATACTTATAATCCAAAAAAAAAAACTTTAAAGGAAAAAATACCAGTGAGAATAACGTAAATTTGTATGAAGCTGCTTTGAGAAAAAGTACTGTGAAAGATTAGGTGTCCTTTTCCAAGAAATACCTCAATATATACAATGGGTTAGTAAACTGAAGTGAAATTCCAACCTGTTCTGTCATGCATGGAAAAACAAGTCCCACCTGGATTGGGTAGTTAACCTTGTCAGAACCATTTAGTTCAGGCCTGCTTTTTGCAACATTACAGAAGCTCTATTACACTGTGCAGACTGGCCGTGTCCGCCTGCCTCATGGGGCTGCCAGCACCGCCCTTCACTTCATTTGTACTGAAAGAAAACCAAAGGGGGAGTAAGGCTGAGTTATTTTCCCCTCCAGCAGCTTCATGGAATATGAACCAGGGAAGAAGGGAATCTAGGACAGTGAACGACAAGGTCTGCCCTTGGTTTCCCTTAGATTTAACAATGCAATTCATAAATGTAATGCTAGTGTGTTCTTTTGATTCCAGGAACTAACTCAATCCACTGTTTTAGAAGTATGAGCTGCTCTTGAATCTTTGGAACAAAGAACAGGTTTGTCTGATTTGAAAGTGCACTGCCTTCTGTAAACGGTCGTTTACAAATTTCCCCGTCCTTTCAACAGGACAGGTGATTCTTTTTCATTTTCTAATCTCTGTCCTGTGGCATGGCTGAGAGCAATTCAATAGCTGTAATGTTTTATGATAGAGATGGTTAGCTCTCTGTGCTAGGTAATGTGATCCTAAAATAGACTAAAGAATAAAGCCTAAACCCTTCAGCTCTGGGCCTCTAGCTTACATAAAACACAAAAGTGGTTGATGTATTTTACCTGTTCCTAGACAATTAGGTCCCTTGCAAAATTCAGCAGAAGCATCATTGTTTAAAGATGTAGAGTTGTTTTTAGATGTGCCAGAATGAAAAAGCAAAAAGCTTGTAGAAATAATCAAGAATGATCACATGGTTATCATTATTTAATAATAAAAACTATAAAGTAATTAGTGCTTACTCAAGTGAACATTGTTTTAATATTAATTCTGTTTATATGATAAACATAGCATCAGTGTGTTAGGCAGATTTTGAACATTAAGTAGATGCGTTCCATGCAGATTTTTATGTAAAAGCCTATGGTTTCACAGTAATCCTTTAAAAGGTCACTTGAAAGGAACCCAGAAATGTTAGCCTACCAGGTGAGGGAGTAAGAACAGCAGGAGTTTGGGGTAATTAACAGCCTGGACGGAATATTTTTGCCCCCCAGATGAATTATTTAGAGCAATCTAGACAAGATCTGCTCCTAGAACTATACAAAAGCATGAGATTTTGGTTGAGCCATTCTTAATTTTGCATCATGGATTAATTACAAGGAAGTTGCTTTCTATAATTCCTCTTTAGAAAAAAAATCCGTTATTACACAGCTGATAGAGGATCACTAGAAAGTGCTTACGCGTGGCACTTGCATGACTGTGCTTGCAAGAGTCAATAGTCCTAATCTGAAAGAAGGAAATTTGGTTGTGGCATTTGTAAGAATACTCTTGGAGGGAAACTGAGTCTGGAACATGACCAAATGAATGATGATAACCTTGGAGGAAGCTAGTTTGACTTTTCTATTATTTCATATAAAAAAGCCATATTTGAAAATATCTAGTACAATCAAGGTACAATTTAGGCATCTGAGAAAAGTCTTAATGTTTGTTGGACTCTCTAGGCTGCTAGAATTCCATGAGCAAGAGGGGAAAAGAGAGATAAACTAGTGAATATAAAATAAATCATGGGTCATTGAACAAAGATTTGGTTTCATGGAAAATTCAAATATACAGGCAAAATATCTTTACTGACATGTATAAAATACATCTTTCTTGTAAAGCATGAATATAAGCAGATGTCAAGAAGAAATGAAAGGAGGTAGAATCTTGGGTTGGCTGACCCGGAAGGACTCCTGATAACATCGCGTCCCGTCATCTTACAGCTGGAGACACTGAAGCCCCAAGAACTTAGGTAACTTGCCCAGCCAAGGCTCTTTCCTCCATGCCTCTCACTTCCCTTGAAATAAACACACTAAAGAAGCCAGCAGTTCATAGAAACCCTCTGTGACTAGAAGGAAGAATAGAAGGAAGGAAAAAAGGGAGAGGTGGAGATCCTTGCTGGAGGAGGAAGCCATTCTTCCTGTGGCTCTGCCCAAGTCCCTTAAATACATTCTCCTTAAACTCCAGGCTGCCTCTTCATCTGCCCTCTTATTCCTAGTTATCTATGCTACTATCATTAGTTACTGAGCTTCTGTGCCCAATTAAAAAGAAAATGGACTTGAGGATAGAATGTAAGGAAATGAGCACATGATATATCCATAATAAAGAGGAATAAATTGGCTGTTTAAATTTTAAGCCTAAGAAACCTATTGTTTTACCAAAAAAAAGGTTATTAGGGTATGTAAATGCTAACCTGATGAAATATGCTCCATGCTCCGAATGACCTTCATTTTAACTGGCAGGAGGATAGATGCCTGTAAGCATGAAAGAATGAATTGGGAGTCTTGGATTTTGTCTTTAATTTGTTGTGTGACCTTGGGCATGTCACTATACTTTTATTATAGCTTCTCAGTCCATAAATGGATGATAAAATTAGCCACTGAAGTAATCTCAAAGAGGCTTTCTGATGATTGATAAATTGATTATGGTTTATGTATTTAAGAAGAAAAACAGTATGAAAAACCATTGTTGCTGTAATTACTGTAGTTGTTCATACACGAGAAGCAAACACGGGGGCTGGCCATACGTCAGTCATACCTAAAGATCAAGTTGACCAAGAAAGAGAAGGAACACATTTATGAATTGTGGCTTCATTTGCAACTTATTTTCAAGGTTAATAGTTTTAGTGAGATATACATCTTAACTAGAGTTATTGATGCAATGAAACATTTTCATAACCTGACTTCCCAGGGAAAGGTGTGGAATAAACGGAATGTTCTAATAGCCAGCACTGTGACCTTCATAGCACCCACTGGATCTCAGTGTCCATGTCTGCAAAATCCATTTGTAGAATTAGATGATCTCTGAGTCTTCTACTAGCTCTGAGAGGTTTCTACCATTCTAGAAACCTCCAAGATCAGTCCTGCCTGAAGCTGATGAAAAATAGAAACCCACAGGCAGCCATCATCACCAGTTAGGAAAGGTGGGTTAGGAGAAGTTTTAATCAGAGGCCGTGGAGTCAGAGAGCTGTGCTGGAATTCTTGTTCTGTTACTTTATTTTAGCTTGTGGGCTGGTTTCCTCACCTGAAAATCAAGCTCAAAGAGTACTTCCTTTGGGGAGTCACTGGCGGGGTAAAATGAAGGGACTGGGATAGCTCCTGGTACCCAGGAAATGCTAATCCATGTCAGATATTGACTGAGCTCTCAGAGGAGCCACAGAGCACCTAAGTCAGGGGCTCAGCACTCATGCAACATTCCTTAAGCACTCACTGTGCTCCTCCCCTGCCTACCACCCCGGAGACGCTCATGAACAAGAAAAGTTCGAATGACTTTATTAACTCAAATCATTGTTTAGGTGTTAAGAACTGTCATGGAACCAAACCTGAAGAAAGCAAGTTTCAAGTTCAGGGGTGGGGCTACCACAGGTGTAGTAAAGATTGAGTTGAGGAGATTGGAGGAACCACAGTAGGAGGAGGAGGGGTGAGTAATGGTCTTTGTCAGCTGACCAGACTCCAACCACCACCTCTCCCAAGTCTGGGGACTTTCATACTGTATTTTATCTCGGCAGAAGCGGTGCCCCACCTTCCTAAACATTCAGATCCTCTCTCCCCTTGCCTCCTTGCAGCAGGCATTGCTCAGGACAAGAGCTAGGCTCAGCAGAGAGGTTGCTTCCGTTAGGGGTTTTGAATATCATGTAATAAGGCGAAGAGGGACTGGCTGAATTCATTAGTGATTTTAGGGAGGTGGGCAGCAGCATTTTGCTTTCCAGACTTTTCTGCTAAAAGAACACTGTTGTATGTCCTGCCCCCTGGTTCTCCAGAGCTGCCCAGGTTTCTGGACTGTTTTCCATGTCTGATCCTCTGACCTCCCATTGATGCTGTGAGCCTTTGCTTCCTTCCAGTAAATTCCCTACTAGGAGTAAAAAAAAAAATGAAAAGACGACTGGGCCTCCTGTTCCCCTATTAGTGGTTCTTTAGGATCATGGCTAATGAAAGTATGCCAAGCCCCAATATTTGATTGACTATGGACTGAATATTGGATGTTGTTTTTGTGATATTACTAATTTTCTTAGGGGTTTTAAATGCTTTTGTGATCATGTGGGAGAACTATTTAGTCCTAGAAGTCACATGCTGAAGTGTTTAGGGTAAGTGTCGTGATAGCTGAAACTGAGTTTCAAATGGGTTAACCCAAAACCCCACTACCTATTATATATATGTATATGTATGTTTATCTGTGTACATCTACACATCTATCTATATATAGAGAGCAAATTGGCGAAGTGTTAACAATTGGTGAATCTAGATGGAATATATATGAGTATTCATTGTACTGTTCTTTTAATATTTATGTAGGTTTGAAAATTTTGCAATGAAAACTGGGGGAAAAAATGAAATATAGTATATTATGAACTAAGAGAAATGTCCTTAGGGAAAATCTCTGTGTAACCTAGGTTTCCCCAGATCTGGTGGATATAACAGTGTTACCTGTAATAATCCATACTGCCCAGCCTATCATTGATATTCAGTGAATGGATAAGCAAGGGGACATTTCACTGACTCTTTAGCCCATTTGCTGCCACCCAACACTCCCCTGCAAAGTGCCTCCTATGTAAGATGGCTTTTACATGTGCTTACATACATGGTTCTCAGACTTCCATTAAGTCATCTCCTAGGCACTCATTTATCTAACAAGTACTTTGCAAGTCTCTGGGATGTTATCTTCATTGCTAAATACCAAGGTACAGCTTTGAGTAAGACAAGCACCCTCAGGGACCTTCCATTCTAATGACATCCAAACCTGGGTGCTTCCTTTTTCTCTTCCCCTGGGCCCCATTTGCTCGTCTCACTTCCCTGTTGCAATCAGGGACCTTTGAGGTGACAAAGCTCCCCAAACCGGTATTCGTTAGAAGAGTGGAGAAGAGGCTTCTCTCCTTCTATGTGTTGGCATTGGCTTAGCTTCTGAATAGTGTGCACAGTTCTTAATCATGACCGATACTATCTACTGAGTGGTTTTCTGTGCCAGGCACTAAGCTAAATGCTTGTTTTCATTACTCATTTAATCCTATTCAATGAGATAGGAAAAATTGCAAGCCCTTTTTGGCAGATAAGGAAACTGAGGCATATGCAGTGTAAAGCGGCTTGCCTAACTTACAGAGCCAGTAAGTGGCCTGGTCTCCGGGGGTTTAAAACCAGAATTGCCTATAGCTCCATGTTGCCTCTTGGTTTCATGGGGGTTTACCGAAGTACCTGTGTTGGATTTTACTTAAAGCTCCTCTCTGCCCCACTGCTTCCTCCCTGCCCTGTAGGATCCATGATGCTCTCTTTAACTAAAATAAAAGCTGACCTAGAACCAGACAAAAATTGTATTAGTAGGCAACCTTTCCTCTAATCAATACAATCAATCAACAATTATGCACTTCCCCACAACCAAACAGGGAGCTCCCTCAGTAGCAAAGCCCGTCAGAAACCAGTCTCTAGAGGCCTCATTTCTAGATATAGGAGAAAACAAGGAGAACAGAGAAATCGTAGCAGTGATGGCATGAGAGTCATTACAGAAGCTTGGGGACATCTGCCTTCGTTTGTTCTGGCGTGGTAGATAAACTGGGCCTGCTTTTCTCTGCAGCCTTATATGAGTCTTGCTTTTTCAGGTTGAATAGAGTTCATAGTGGTCCTTAACCTCATTCTCTTCTAGTTAAAAGTATGATTCATTTTATGTGTGTAATTGCCTTACTCTCATTTTTCAGTGGTGCTAAAAGGAGTGAAGGGGAGAGGGAGAAAGAGGGGATAGGGCGTGCAAGTTCCTAACGCTGGCAGAGAAATACAGGCTTCTGCCTGCTTGGTTTTCTGGAACTCAAGTCTCCCTCTGCTTGGAAGGTTGTCTCCAGTCCATCTCAGCATGAAAGTTATCTCCTCTAGTCAGCCTCCCCTGGCCTTCCAGACTAAACATATCCTTAACTTTCTGTCCTTATCCTTTTTATACCCAGTAGCCCTGCTGGACCTTGAGGTCCCAGAGACAGTGTCTTTGTTTTGTTCACAAGCAGTACTGCTGAGATATTAGAGCCCCTGGTACATCCAGGGTACTCAGCAGACATTTGCTGAATGAGAGGCCTTCTCTTTTCTCCATCGCATAAATTGAAGTTCTAACTGGATGTGTGGGGTGAGTCTGAGCGGTTGGGGAAGTGTACTCAGCAGAATATTTTGCTTTTTCATTTTACCTCTACTTCAATTTTCTCTTTCACTCACCCATTCCCACTTCGAACTTGGCTCAAATGTGCTAAATATGAGTTCAATATTTTGCTGAAGGACTTGTGTCTTTTTATTATCTGTCTCAATATCTTCCTAACTTGACATTCATTTGCTCTGTCAAAAAAAAAAATAGCTCAGTTATAAAGTCCCTTGGGTAAATTGGTTATAATTTTTATAAATTGGAAATAAAATGTTAATGATACTGTGCAAGTTCATACAGTTATATTGCTATCTCTGCAGGAAATCATCTCTTCTGAAATCAAATTTGTGACTTAATTCTTCCAAGAAAAATTTTTTGACTACTACAAGTAATCAGGAAAAAAAAGTTGTAAATTATAACAAAAAGAGTCCAATTATCATTCAAAATAGAATTTGTCACCCTATTAATGGAATATCAAGTGAGGAATCATTTTCACAACCTGTTTAACATTGAGGGGAAATAAAAATTGTGTGAAGAATTTTACCTGAAGTATTAAGTAAGTAATTTAATAAGAATGTTTTAAAATAAAAAAAAAAAATGTACTCCAAGTGCTGGAAAATTAACAATATAACAATTTACACAGTAACA